AAAAAAAAGAAGTGGTACTGCACAGCTAGGAAAAAATTCTCTTGGAAAATGCTCATAAAAAATAGCAGTGAGGAAGAGCATTACCTTTCTTTGCAGGTGCAGCTTCCTCTTCATCACTCTCCTCCTCATCCTCATCGACTTCTTCATCTTCATCCTCCTCATCTTCATCAGATTCTTCATTCGCTGTGACGTTCTTCGCCGCTGCGGGTTTCTGCGCAACCGCGGCTTTGCTCTTCGGGGCTGCTGCTCCAGCTTTGTTCTTCGAGGCTGCCGCTACCGGCTCTAAAATAAGCAAAAAATAGTGCAATGGCTGCGTTGATTAAATGAAATCTATCCATCAGACAAAATAAGATTGTGCATACCATCATCATCTTCTTCTTCATCGTCTTCCTCTTCATCTTCATCATCTTCGTCTTCATCTTCATCGGAATCTTCTTCTATAGCGGGTTTCTTCGAAGTTTCCGGCTTTTTCGAAGTTGCAACTTGTTTCTTTGCAGCAGGCTTGGCAGGAACTGCAATCATAGCTTTAACAACAGTTATCATTTGACAGGGCAAAGTACATGAACAATAGGAAAATCACCTTCATCTGCTCCGTCTTCCTCATCCTCCTCTTCATCCTCTTCATCTTCATCCATCTCTTCTTCATCCTCATCCTCCTCCTCTTCACTTTCGTCTTCAGCATCAGGAACAATCTGGAAATGATAAATTACATACTGTCTCCAACTGTCCTGGAAACGATACGGAAATGATATGAAGATGGAAAAGCTATGAATTCACACAGATGAGCTTTCAAGAGTTCCATTGTGCTGAGTAATAGATAGAGAGCAGAGTAAAACAGTACCTTTGTAGGCTTTCCATTCGCCTTCTTCTTCTCCTTCAAAGCGCTGACATTAGCGACCTCTTCTTCATCTTCATCTTCCTCATCCTCTTCGAACTAAATATTCGTATTCAGATTAAAGTGTTTTGAGCGGACGGTACGTTAGTGAAAAACTGAACAATAATAACGAGATGGCTGCCCGCGCCGATTCTACAGAAATGCTAGAGAACTGCGATTTCTGATAAACTGAGGCTTTCAAGGACAATTAGAAGGACGTATCATTTCGCTCTCGTATCTACTCTTGAAAGTAATCGAAAAAAGTGAAAAGATGCTGAACGTGTCCTACTATTTCGCGATTATTTCGCATAAAAATGCGCAAACAATCCAAGTGAGAAGATGGCAAAAATGCTGCAAAACATTTTGTTCATTAGAGGACTATATCGAAGGGAAGCCGCTTGCAAGCTGCCGTCGTTAGGTTCTGACAATAAGAACTGCTTTTTACTAATTTCAGTCTTTCAGTGATATCAAATGAAGCGGTCAACTTTGAACATAATGCTGTGTGCAAAGGAACTGATTCATCAAAGCAAAGACAGACCTTCTTGGGCTTTCCTTTCGAACCAGCTGGAGTATTGGGAGCAGAAAAATTCTTCTTGTCTGTAAACCATCAATACAATGCACGACACGTACTACCTTGAGAGGTGAAGACTCACATCCTCCACGACCGCCTTCCTGTCTTTCATTATCTGGCCTCCTTCTTTCACTAAACGAGCCATGTGCACCTCTGCCACCTCTGAATCCCGGCGATCCGTTCCCACGAGGAGTGAACGATCCACGACCGCCACGATGACTTGGGGAAAAATTTCCTCTATTCGGACTGAATCCTCCACGACCTCGATATCCTCCACCACCACCTGAAAGAACAGGTAAGACTCCCGAAAAGGATAACTGCTGGCCCATTCATCGACAAACCTCTTCCACGTTCGGATGATCCAAAGGGCCTAAACCCACCTCTCTGGCCTCCTCTATCTGCCGGAGATCCGAAACCACCTCTGCCACGGTTTGCTGGAGAGTTGAAACCTCCTCTTTGACCTCCTCTGCCTCCACGACCTAGACATAAATATGACCATTGCAAGATGATGTTCCCAGCAAGAGAAGAAAAATGAATTGAAACATAGTGGGCAAAAATCCAAATTTTAAGATGTAAGCTCACCTCTGTCTCCTCCTCCTCCTCTGAAGTTTGGTGATTTTCCTCTGTCCCCTCCACGGAAACCTCCGCGAAACCCTGAAGGGTTAAATTTGATTTCATGCGTCGAAAAAGCTAGTAACAAACCTCCAGAGGTGGAACCTCTACCCCTCGCTGGACTGTCGTAACCCATGTTTCTAAAATTGTATAAATACGTTAGTAAAGCATAAAATAGACACGTATTAGATAATTTGAAGCAAAAAGATACGGATGATGTAGAGAAAAGGGAAAAGAAACGAATACTATCAAGAATACTGCTAGATTGCTTGAAATTGCGCAATATTTCGAGAAACCGTCCTGAGAAAAAGAGCTAAGAAAGAAGTTGATTCGCGAAATATATACTGAAGAACCTTAAAGAAATGACGATCTATGGCCTTGCGAGAAGAAAAAGGCTTCGAAAACATTCAAAAACGCGTGAGGCCTAATTCTTAAAATGCGACCGCGTGCATGGATTCGCTCCAGGACTCCCGCATTTTGCAAATCTGCACGATTTGCGTGCACGATTTCCGGATCGCGCATGAATTTTGTTTTGTCGAAAGGTCGTGCATTCCTCTAATTCTGAATTTGAGTATAAACAATGTAGGCAATGTCTAGCTGCGTTTTCATGTTCTACCTGTTAGGATATAAAAACTTCCTCTCATTTTCTATACTTTATGTCACTGACTTGGTTTTTCCCCCAGAGCATTTGCAGCAATTGCACTCTTATATCTGCGATAGTATGTTTGCACTTTCTATATGCCAGCTCAACTGAGAGAAATCGGGCATGTTATTTCATTTCTTCATGGCATTTCTTTCTGCATTTCTTTAATTTTTCGTATATTATTTGCACACCATATCTCATTTCTAATATATCTATGTAATAATAATTGCCTTATAATCGAACTATCTAGCTGTTAAATTTTGGAAACCTCCTGGTTGAGTCAGAGACGGTTAACAGTGGCTGAAAATCATCAACTCAGACCATTAACCCGAACTTTCGCAGGACAAGCCGAATTTGCAGAATTTCCGCAGGACTTTGTTTATCTTTGGAAAAGTGGAAACGTTGAAAATGGGGACTTTCGCAGGATTTTTCCGCCAAGTTGATTGAAAACGGGAACTTCCGCAGGACTATTTACAAAAC